GAGACCAGGCTGGCCTCGAACTCACAGAGATCTGCCTGCCTCTGCCTCCCAAGTGCTGGGATTAAAGGCGTGCGCCACCACCGCCCGGCATACCACACTTTCTTTACCCATTCATCTGTTGATTGACACCTAGGCTGGGTCTATAACTTGACTATTGAGGACACATGGCTACTGAAGTCTCTCTGTAGTATGTTACTTTACAGTTCTTTGGGGTATACACCCAGAACTGGTACATCTGGATTATATGACAGATCCATTTTTAATCTTCTGAGGAACCTACAATCTGATCTCCATAGTGGCTGGAATAATTTATGTTATCACTGGCAGTGTTTAAGGAGTCCCTTGCCTGGCATTCTTGTTATTTGTTTTAATGGCAGCCATTCTGACTAGAGTGAGAGGGTATCTGAATGTTGTTTTATATTTCCCTGATGACTAACAATGCTGAATTTTTTATTTTTTCATATTTTTATTGGCCATTTGAACTTCCATCTTTTGAGAACTGTCTGTTCATTTTATCATTCTATTCATGGGCTGGGTTGTTTGGAATTTGGGTATTTAGGTTTCTAAGTTTTTATGTATGCTAGATATTAATCCTCTTTCAGATATATGGCTAGTGAAGATATTTTCCCATTCTGTAGGCTCTCTTCACTATATTAACTGTTTCCTCTGTTGCCTAGAAAGATTTTAATTTCACGGGATCTTGTCAATTGCTGGCATTATTTCCTTGCTCTAGGTAACAATTTAAAACTTTACTAAGAGTAAAGAAAGTCCCTGATTTTAGTAGCAATGCTTTGAGTTTTTCAATGTTGGTTAAAGCTGTGCCCTGCATAGCCTTTATTATGTTGAGTTACATCTCTTTTATTCCGTTTCTTCAGGGCTTTTATCTTGAAGCAATGTTAGATTGCCAGTCTTTTCTGCATGTATTGAGATGATCATGTGATATCTATCTCTGAGTCTTAATTATGTGATGTTATATATTTAGTGACATGTGTTGAACTATCCTTGCATTCCTAGAATGTAGTCTACTTGCTCGTGGTAAATGAACATTGTTTAAAGCAGGGTCTCATGTATGATGGGCTGGCCTCAAACTCATTGTGTATCCACAGATGACCTTGAACTTCCAATTCTCCTGCTTTCACTTTCTATGAGGTGAAATTTCAAGCATGCATCATCACATCTTGTTTACATTGTGCTAGAGATCAAATCCAGGGTTGTACACATGCTAGACAAGCATTCTAGTAACTAGCTATAACCAAGCCCTTGAGCAATATTTGTTAATGTGTTGTTGAATCTGGTTTTGAGAATTTGTTTTTTTAAACTTAGAAGTCATTCTTGTTTCCCTCAGGACTCAGTTAGCTTCATCAACTTGAAATAATCTAGAATCACTTGTGAAGAGGGAACCTCAACTGAAGAATTGTCCAGTTCAAACTGACCTGTTGCTATGTTTGTAGCCACATTTGTGGGTAATTGACTTGATGTTGACAAATGTAGGAGGGCCCAGCCTGCTGTGGTAAGTAATACCCCTGGGCATATGATCCTGGGCTGTATAAGAAAGCTCACTTGGTTGGGAGGGGTTGGTGCATACCTTTAATCCTAGCACCTGGGAGGAAGAGACAGGTGGTGAGTTCAATACAGCCTGGTCTACAGAGTGAATTCCAAGACAGCCAGGGCTACAAAGTGAAAGCCTATGTCAAAAAAAATGAAGCAAACAAGCAAGCAAGCTAGCTAGCTTGAACACAAGACACTGCAAGGCAGAGAAGGAGCCAGTACGCAAGTGTCCCTTAAGTGATTTCTCCCAATGATGGATTGTAACCTAGTCGAATAAGTCAAATTAACCGTTTCTTCCTCAAGTTGCTTTTGTCAAAGTTTTATTACAGCAACAGAAAAGCAAACTAGAACACCATTAGCTCAAGTCACAGCTAAGATCCTGATGTTGCAGATGAGCCAAGTAACTCTTTGTTTTGGATAGGAACCATTCAGACCACCTGCCTTACTCTCACACCTGAAATACAACATTTCTAAGTATTAGGGAGGTAGGGGACGTATACTATACTAATATATATATATATAATATATATATATACACACACACACACACACACACACACACACACATACAATTTGCCCTTCCTTTATACTACTCATACTTTAACTCTGTCTTGAATATCTTCATGACTTCTACTTTGTGTGTGGGTACGGGTAGGTTTATGGCTGCAAACTATAGAGGTCAAAGGACAACATGTGGGGTTGGCTCCCCCTTTCTACCATGCTGGTCCTGGGGATTGAACCCAGGTCACTAGGTCTGGCAGCAGGTGTATTTATCCACCAAGCCATTTCACCAGCCTTCAGACATAATCTTTTACAAAATGTTATTATTTATTGTAACATTAGAACTGTGGCAATATTTTCTATCATAAAAATTTCTGAAGAAAACATATACTTACCAGGTCTACTCAAGAAGTAAAACATATACTGCTTTAGATTCATACCAAATGTAATTACCTGGATGACTGTCTGGCCATTTGGCAAATCCCCCCACAAGGCGATCTTGAGTTGATAAGATGTAATTCCTGTTCTTCTCAAAGTTAGTGTACTGGAAAATTTTCAGAAGCTAAAAACAAAATGACAAAAATTAACAGGCACAAAACTTATTGGCTTGTGACTCACATTTCAGCTACTGATCATTTGGATAGGCTTTTCCCTAGCTTAGACTCTCAGAGCAAATCTCTGGGGACTTGAGCACTTAAATTAGCCAAATACAGTATTTTTTATTTTCTTACCAAGCTCATTAGTAAGAAGGTTTAATATTGTCAAGATATGACTTCTACCCATGTCCACCTACAGATTCAGTAAATATCTACTAAAATCACATGGGGGTTGGGGGAGACAGAGGAACATTACTCAGACATAAAAAGGAAAATTTCACATATATTACAAAATGGATGGATGGTTCCTAACATTGTGCTAAGGGAAATAAGGCAGAAACAGAAGAACAAATATTGTATGATTGCACTTATATGAGTGTGATGTGATGGTTTACAATGTGTGTCTGTGTCTGTGAGGGACTATCAAGATTAGGTTGACTGAGTTGGAAAGCCCCCTCCTCAAGTGTGGGTACACTACTTCCCCAGGCTAAGATCTTGGACTGCGTAAACAGGAGAAAGCTAAGTAAGCACCAGTACTCATTGCTCTCTGCTCTGATGGAGGACAAAATGGTCAGCTGCTCCCTGCTCCTGCGGCCAGACCTCCCCCGCCCCCCTGCAGAACTCTAAGTCTAATCAAAGCCTCCTTCCTTCAGTTGCTTTTGTCAGTTATGTTAATAACTCGATGAGAGTCCCAGAAATGACATATCAAGACAGCACACACACAGTGACTACAGGAGGCTGGGGAGAGGACAGTGGGACACTCCTGACAGGATCAGAGGCCATGGATCTAACGGCAGTGCTGGGTAGATAGTATTCTGGATATCATGACTACTGGATTACATACAAGTGTATAAAAAGTACTAAACATACTAAGCTACAGCTCACCACAATGAAAGAGAAGTTTATAGAATTTTATAACCAGCTTGACATCTCAGAGCCTTCTGATCAAAAGGAGAGAGTTTGGTATTAGGAGCTTCTGGGTGTGATACAACAGGAAACAACCTCATCTCTAAGTGACACTTAGTGTGGAAAGCAATTATGGCTCATTTTTAGATGTGGTATGATACTAGGGATGCTGTTTTCCTAAGTTATTTCATTTAGAAAACATTGAAGAATGTCCAGAAAACCAAACCCAACAAATGACTGTCTTGAAGACCACACAGTTATTGGAAGGAGTGTATATGAAACGGGTGTAAAGGACAGCTGCTCTGGGAGGACCACTACTGATGCATGAGGGATGCATGGGAGTTCACTACACTATCCACTCTATTTTAAGTATGTCCAAAATTTTTGACTACAAAAGTACAACCTAATTTTAAAATGGCATTAGAAGTAAACAGATAGGCTATGGCCTTCACTGTAAACCAGTCTTTTCCAGAGTCCTTTCAACCACACACAGGCTATTATATATAAGATGAACACAAACTTTTGCCATAGTCACAAGAACTGCACAAGGGTGCTTCTTAAGGGTGAAGACATTTCAAGATGCAAATGATGTAGATAACAGCTCAGTGACTTTATGTAACAAATCCAATCAACGAGTTCTGGAAATTTTAGGCAAAACAAACAATAAAGAAGAAAGAAAAATTTTAAATGGATTTATAGCAAATGGCCTACGGTTATCTTTTTAAATTAACTTTCTGCTTCCAGTTATGACTTCCAGATCAATCCCTGTTCTACATGCTCTAGTTAGCCTTATTATGGGTATGTAACAAGCCCTACTACATAAGTTTTATGTGGGTACAAATACCAAGTGGCTTGGGTGCCTCATTTCCATGGCTTCTCTTACCTTTAGAGTCGCTCCCACCCAAAATGAGTAACAGGTGTCAACAGGCTTATTGGGTCTTCCATGATATCCATTCTGCTGCCTCATTATACACCACCTCTTTATCCTGTTTAGTTCTTTTTCTGAAAAGACTTCTTCCAATTTACCCATCAGGCACAGTGATGCAATGCCACAAAAGGTGGACCCTCCTAATGATAAAACACAAACTGTAAATTTCTGCTCAGATGTCTATGGGCCTATGAAAGCAGTATACAAAATATTGGGAGAAGGGGAATGGTCCTGTTAGCCTATATGACAGTGAAATAAAATTTAGTAACAAACTCAAAACATTAAACAATGAAGCCTCCCATGTCAACTGATAAAACAGAATAAAATTTAAAATAATTTAAAGCTATAAGAGACATTATACTTTTGGGCTTGGACCAAAATCAAGGACTCTGTTCCAGATTACACAATTTATACCAGAACTAACCCCCAAGTCTGCTTTTCAGTTCCTTTATGTCCATGGGGTCTGTATTCAGGGAGGCAGCTGAAAATCGAAAGCATTTGAAAAGCAAACGGATTCCTCACAGACTTTCTTCTTGTCACTCCCTGCCCAATACAGTAAAACAGCATTTTTTACTGTAGGAGCTAGGCATTATTACCCAAGAGCCATAAAGACAGGGGCAGTACCACTGGTTCTATACAGATCAAACTCACTGTCCCAGAATGGCTTTCTTACTCAATTTTATAGATTCTGTTAGCATTCATGTTTGGTAGTTATTGGGAAGAATCTCCATCCTCTGAAATGTGTAACTTAAGGTAGTTAATAAGCATACAGTCAGAAGTAAAGCAGGAAACTAAACACACACACATAAACAGGTACATTTTATACTTAAGCACTACACTAAAAAGATAAGGAGAAGTAAGTTCATGGGAATTCAATGTTCAAAGAAAATTAAGGCCAAAGGGACTTAACATTTTTGTTCTGGATTAAGAAGTAAAGATATTTAAAAAGAACCATAGAATCAAATTCATTTATCTGAGCTTCCTACTATGAATCTTGAGAGACAAAAATAATTTTATCAATAGCAAACTCAAACAGCTCAATCCTTGCAGAACACATTAAAACTATACCCCAAAGTGGTCTGCTCCTGGTAAACTAGTGAGATAAAGTGAGCAGCACACTTGACAATCAAGGCCCAGGAGGTCACCGTTTGCCTGCTCAGTCTCTCTGATTCCATATACAGACCAAGCAAAAGACAGAAATGAAACAACAGACGTAGAAAAAGGAGGAAAAGAAATCCCCTGACCCCAACCCAATATATTACATATTTAGACTGGGGAGTAAGGAGTAAGAAAGAGCACATGAAAAGGCCACAATTACATTAGAATAGTACCTTCTAATATTTCTCTCAGAAACATGCTAGTTTATGATTTCTTTCTGAGGTAGGAGGGATGTTAATCTGAGTATTCCATTGTTGTAACATGTCTTGACCCCACAGGTTCATAGCTATGTTTGCCACATAGGGTTTTAATTTTCCTTTCTGTCCTTCTGGACCTATACATTCGAGCCATCTTGCACTCTGTTTCACTTGAGATAATGTTCCAATTCCTAACAGCTGAAAGTTTACCTCCTAAAAAGGCCAAGTTGGATGCCAAAATTTTGGTGCAATTATGGTCACATCAGCACCTGTGTCTACCAGACCAGACAACAAAACACCATTTATTCTTATTGTTAATTTTGGTCTTTGTTCATTAATAGAAGTTTGCCAAAAAATTTTCTTTATGTTTTCTCCTGAATTTTCTGTTCTGTTTCATCATCCCAAGTAGCCTGGTTTATTCCAATAGGCATTTGGTTATTTAATTGCTCTGAGTAGGGGTTTCCTCTATGACTGCAGGAAAGGTCTGAACTGGATTTGCTGTGGGGGCCTGCCTGAGGCCCCTCTGGGAGTTTCCTGAAGAGGCAAAGTATTACCTTGCCTGTCCCTTCTTGACCTACATTTGTTGGTCCAGTGTTTTCCCTTACCACACCTTCTGCATACTCCAGAAGGAAGGGGCACTCTGTTGCCATTGTTCCTTGAAGAAACATTGTTTCTAGGAATGACCTGTTTACAGTCCCTTTTCAAATGTCCTTGCTTTCCACATCCAAAACATCTGACATTCCTCAAACCTCTTGAAATTGCTTCTCCTATCCACATATCATCATGGTCATGAACCTCAACATTAAACGTATCTCTAATCCAATCTTCCAAAGGTGCAGATCTTGCCTTTAACGGCCTGATTATTCTCTTGCATGCTGCATTTGCGTTCTCAAACGCCAAAGATTTGATTATTATCTTGCTAGCTTCTGAATTCCATACCATTCTCTTTACTGCTGAAGTCAGTCTTTGTAAGAAATCCGTGAAGGATTCTTTTGGGCCCTGTATAACCTTTGTAAATGACTCAGTTTTCTTTCCTGGTTCCTCAACTCTGTCCCATGCATTCAAGGCTGCCATTTGACATAGAATTAGGGTTTGGTCATCATATAAACACTGTGTTTGTACTGAAGCATATTGGCCTTCTTCAACAAGGGGAAGGACAGCAGTGGCAGTGAAGGGTAAGAAAGGGTTTTTACTATCAGCTCTTAGCTACTGCTCTGACCTCTTGTGCTTTTAACTCTGCATTTGGCTCCGTGTTTCTTATTTAATATGACAGTTACATCTACAATCATTAAGCTGAAACAGACAGTTCAAACTCAACTTTCCATGCCAGGAACACACAGTGCCACAGAGGACAATCAATACAACATACATTAGCGACACAAGAATAATGTAGGTGAGCTTAGGAGAGAAGATGCAAAGACTCATTTATAGCCTAACAGTGACAAACGAAAGCAGAATGAAGCCAGCATTACAGAAACCAGAGAGCTTGTTCGGGGCTGGGTGGGGACAAATGAGTCTCACCATCAAGTGACAATGAATAACAAATGGAAATGTCAAACTCAAACAAAGGGCACAAGCAGAAGCAGACACAGAGGACCACTGGCCCTAAAGGAAAAAAAGAACCAGTGGAGAGGCTGCAGGTGTAAGTCCGGCACAGCTCAGAGTGAGGGCTGCTGGAGGGCTATGGGGCCTGACCATGGGCACAGCCACTCTACTCTACTCCATTCTGAGACCCTATTCCATGTTCATTCGTAAGGAGTGTAATAGTTAATTCTGACTGTCAACGATCTGACAGGATTTGATTGACTATGGAAGTTTCTACACTATGTTAGCTGAGGTGGGAAGACCCACCCTAGTGAGATCACCATTCCACAGTAGCATTCATATCCCTGCTTCCTACCTGCTGGTGTGACTAGATGTCTCAATCTCCTACAACCATGACTTCTCCACGAGGACTACGCCCTTTACTGTGAGTCAAAATAAAGCCCTCCTTCCACAGCTGTTTGTCAGGTATTTTGTCCCAATAATAATCAACTAAGTACAGGTAGGTAAAGGCATGTTCCTGTAATAGGTCCTTTTCCTTTTAATCCTCACAGTGATTTGGCCTTTCTGACTGGACCTGTCACTTACAAAGAAGCCTGGTAACAGAGTGCTGGTACCAATTAAATAATATGTAAATCATCAAATGATAGCTAGCACAGAGCAGCAGCTAAATTACATAATAACTTCAACCTGAGTGCACAGCTCTGAGATTACACATTGTGACATGAGGGGACAATCATGCTAGCAGAGGGATGGAGGCAGCAAGTGGGCACAGCACAGCACAACCAGTGATGAGGAACCTCAAGTTCATCTGAGTCTCCAGCTTCTGGACTTACTTCTTCAAAAACAGGAATGGAGGCCAGATGACTTCTGAATAGAGACTGTGATTTGAGAGGGCACATAGTTTTGATGCGCTAACAAACTTAATGGCTACCACCTCACTATTCTAGTCCTGTCCAAAATGAGGGAAAATGTGAACAAGCAGACTAGTTCAACAGAAAGTGTATTGTGATTATCACTAAAGATAATTATATTATGGAAGGGAAATAAAGTTTTTCATGTTCAATATTTCTTTTTTGGTTTAGTCTTTCAATTGTTATGACAAAGAAAATAACCTGCTGTTTTCTAATGATAGCCTAAGAAACAATATACCAAGATACATTCATGCAGGTAACATTTTAATTTTAACATATTACTAGAAATCTCTCTGGCCTCAATAATCTCTTAATGATTAGTGATCTAAGAGACTCCAGACAGGTTAAGTACCACAGTGTCAAAGGCAGATGTGGGAAAATGACAAAGACAGTCTGAAACTTTTTTGCGTTAAAGATACCACATGCTATTTTAAAAGTACACACCATTTAAGAAGTCTTACCGTGAGATTCAAGGCCCGCTCCCTGTGCCAGCCCATTGTCATAGGACTGAAAAAGAAAAACACTATTTAGTTTAATGGAGAATAATAATTCTAATAGTAGATCAGTTGCCAATAAGCTAACTGTTCTGATCTCTTTTATCTTTTAGAGTAAGTACTTTCTCCAGAGCAGAAAAAGTGGACATTTGCGTCTCCATTCTTCTCTTGTTCAGCAGTTCTCATGGTTCAGCCAAACCATGATGTGCTTTCACAGAGGGGCATCTGAGAGTGTGTGGGAAGTGGGGGTGGGGGACCACATACTCAGCTTCTGTCAATAACAATCCCCAACCCACACTCTTCCATGTGAGCAGACAGTGAACGAAAACACAAGGACTTCATGCCAACTCAACTTCAGTCATTAAATAAACCTATTATGAGACACTTTTGGCTTACTGAGGATGGATGACAGCCACCTACCTCAATTTCAAGGACTTCGTGTATCTTCCAAAATCAAAACAATAAGAACAATAAAATTTCTACAACTCAAACTTTGCAGAGACATTCCGAAGCTTCGGATTACTTGCCTATAGAAACAGTACCCAATCTCAGCCAACTAGCTCTTATCAACATTTACAAAAACCAGTGGTAATTTGTGAAGAATTATGAGGGAGAAGGAGGGGAGAATCGTTAAGACTGATCTAAAATCTCTGCCTAAGAAGATCATTCTAAGAGTGAAAATACAGTCTAGACTCTGCTCAGCCCCAGGACATATTAATCCCAGTTACCACAGTTTAAATAATAAAAAGATTCAAATCTTTGTAAACACACTAACTGCATAATATACAAGCTCTTTAGTCCACAAATCTTTATATATATATATAAACTATATATATATAATCTTTATATATATAAACTTTATATATATATATATATATATAATCTTTATATATATATAAACTATGCAGCAATCATGACCAATTATACCATCTTTTTCAAACTTGGTTAATAGTAGTTGCTGCCTCCCTTCAGTTAACAAGGCTCTTTATTATCCCTGTGGGCTTTTAGCGCTGTGTAAATAAAGACAGGCTATACTAGCAGCCTGAGAAGGAGTGCAAGTGAAGTAGGCAGTGTTCAAAGGCCATGACTTCTGGACAAGAAAAGTAAACACGGAAGAAATGGGCCATTGAAGCATCAGGTAATAAAGGATAACTCAAGAGAAAAATTTAGAGGCCTGAGAAAAAGGAAGATTTCCTTTCTGTCAGAAAAAAAAAATAAATCACAGAATAGATCATGTTTCCTGTGGTGATATATTGTGTACTCTATTTGAAGATCAGAGAACAGAACAAGACACATAGATGCCAGACAGCGGTGACACACACCTTTAATTCTAGCACTTGGGAGGCAGGGATCTGTCTGGACCTCTGTGGGTTCAAAGCCACCCTGGACTACTACTCAATCTAAGAGAAACAGAGCCAGGTAGTGGTGCCACACATCTTTAATCCCAGCACTTGAGATCTCATGCCTTTGCTTAGGAAGCACAACATCTTTAATCCTAGCACTAAGAAGGAAGTGATACAGCTGGGCGAAGAAAGGTATATAAGGCGTGAGGAGACAGGAACTAAAGCTTTTCGGCTGGAGAGCTTTCGGCTGAGGACTCAGAGGTGTTCAGTCAGAGGATTTGTGGAGCTGGCAAGGTGAGATGTAGCAGTAGCTTGTTCCTTTGTCTCTCTGATCTTTCAGCATTTATCCCAATATCTGGCTCCAGGTTTTTGTTTTTATTAAAAGACCTATTAGATTTCATGTCACACCCCCCCCCCCAAATCACTCAAAGAAATCATACTTTGTTGCAATGAAAAAAGGACAACCTGGGGCTGGAGAGATAGCCCAATGGTTAAGAGCACTTACTGCTCTTGGAGAAGACTGGGGTTCGGTTCCTAGCACCCACACAGTGGTTCACAACCATCTGTAACTCCAGTCCTGGGGGATTTGTTGGTTCTTCTGATCTCTTTGGGGTCCTGGACACACATGGTATACATATACACACACAAAATAAATATTTTTTTTAAGAAAAGAAAAATTGGCAACCTTGAGCTCTCAATACTTTTAAGAGAAGAAAAATCTACTAAACAAAATCTATTTAGTTACTGTTAATGAAAACACAACTCTCAGTGTACGAAAGCCAGTCTGTATAGACAAGAAACAGCCAGAGACAGAAGGAAAGTAGGAAATTTAACCCAGCACCCAAAACTCAACCGCACATCCCCAAACAAACACTAAAAATATGAAAAAGAAATTACACATTAAAAATAGAGAGCTGGGGAAATAGCTCAGTCTATAAAGTACCTGTGTGCCAGAACCTGAGTCTGGACCCAGAACCCACATAAGAACTAGGCTCAGTGGCAGACGCCTGTAATCCCAACACTGGAGTAGCTAATGCCTAGACAGGGGATACCAATAAGCTGCAGGTTCAGTGACAGACATGACAATATCACATGACAAAGGTAGAGAGCAACTGAGGAAGAACACCCAGTATCTACTCCAGCCTCCACATGCACACACACACACACACACACACGAGCAAGTACATACACACACACACACACACACACATACACAAAGAAGAAATGGACTAACAGTAGAAAGAAATAATGTGTTAAATGGTTTGAAGAAAAACAAACAAACAAAAAGAAACAAAAACAAAATAAGAAAGATTTGTGAGGTGTAGAGAGATTAGCCAATTGTGGTGGTGCACACCTTTAATCCCAGTACTAAGGAGACAGGGGCAGGCATATCTCTGTGAGTTCGAGGCCAGCCTGGTCTACACAATAAGTTCCAGGACAGTCAGGGTTACAGAAATCCTCTGTCTCAAAAAGACAAACAAAAAATCAAACAAAACAAAACAAGGACTACATTATAGGACTCCTAGGGTGCAATTCTTTAAAATGAAAACACAAAAAGGGAACCCGAGAGGCTGGAGAGATGGCTCAGTGCTTAAGAGCATCGACTGCTTGGAGACAAGACTCAAGTTCAGTCCCCAGTACCTACACTGGAGAGGCTTACAACCATCTGCAACTCCAGTTCCGGGGGTCTAACTCCTTCCTACACTCACCTTAAACTCCTGTGCATAACCCCCTCCCTGCCCCGGCACACACAAAATTACAAATAATAAACCTCTTTCTAAAAGAGAAGGGAAACCAAATAAAGTCAGAAAGCAACCACGAATATAAATCTGATCTACGGAGGTAGAAATGGCGCCGAGATGGAGCGCAGTGGTAGAGTGCTTAGCATGCACCTGGCCCCGGGCTGGATCTTAAACACTATTTTGATCACCACCAAAAGAAGTAAAAATGCCAGAAAGAAAGTGGTTGAAATGAAAGACAAGCAAAGGACACATAGAAAATTGAAATACAGAGAACCCGAAACAAAACAGGGCTGGTGACACTTCCTGGGGAGTGCTTCCCTACCATGCAGAGACAGAGGTCCCAGCATGGGAGGAGGACAGGCAGGACAGGACAGGACAGGACAGGACAAAGACAAGGGGCTCTTAAACACGTGTAAGTTCTACTGGCAAGGCGGTGTGGAAAAAGGCACTCTCCTGTGGGGGTTGGAATGCAAATTGGCTCCTCTTTTTAAGTTTGTTCCTTTTTTCCTAAAGAAGAAACAGGCTTACTGAAAACATTTTAAGGGCAGTGAGCTGAGCAGCAACAAGAGTACTGCTCAAGCCTGGTCCATGTGGTCCATCTTTGCATGGGTAGAAAGCAAAGCATAGCCAATAAAATTGCATACGCACTTAGCTTCTGACAAAACAATTTACCTAAAGATGTATCTGTAATATATAAAAAGATATGCAGAAGGTTATCAATAACAGCGCTGTTTGTAAGTAAAAAAATATACTCTCTATACAGAATAGTTGTAAACAGAGAATTTTAGAAGAGACTATGATATAACCACATATTTAAGTAATGTAAAAGTATAAGGGAAAAAACCGAGGAAAACTGTGATTTTCAAGGCATATTATTCAAATTACCAAATTAACCAAAAAAAAAAAGGAAAGAAAGAAAGAAAGAAAGAAAGAAAGAAAGAAAGAAAGAAAGAAAGAAAGAAAGAAAGAAAGAAAGAGTAAAAAAGCATATTACCAGAAAAGGTAACTGCAGTATGTCATGACCTGCTTAAATAAATGATGTGTTTGCTTTTATGTGGGATAGTTTTGTCAACTTGACTAATCTACAATTAACTAAAACCCACATAGCTCAGTGCCCCTGTGAGGGATTTTTCTTGGTTGATTATTTGAGGTGAGAAGACCCATCCTAAATCACCACATAAGAAGACACGAAAGAAGGAAGCTCTTGTGTCTTGCCTCCTTGCTCTTACTCACTGACAAGTTATCCGGTTGCTAAGGTATTCCTTCCTTCACCAGTATTAAAATCTACTTCTTTGGGATTCCAGAGTACACTGACGGCTGCCTGAGACATCCAGCTTCACAGCCACTGAACAACTACCAGATTCATGGCCTTCCCATCAGGAGACACCCATTGTTGAACTAGCTAGAACACAGCCTATGTAAGCCACTCTAATAAACTCCCGTTTGACATACATATATGTCTAATACAGATTAGGGTACCAGAAGTGGGTTGTCGTTTTAATAAGGAGAAGTAAAAAGCATATGGATCTTCTCATCAAGTACAGGAAAGTTAAGTGAGAAAATAATGTTACCTACAGAGTGAATAGGAACAAGATGGTAGGTTTGGAGGTTAGGAAAGGGTGGTAAATAAAGGGGAGTAAGAAGTTACACTTCTCAGAATTTTCCTTTAATGTTCTATGTATACATACATATATAACTTTCCTAGTCTGCTTGATGAGAAAGGCCTAGAAGCAATAATATCCCATGTTAATAAGCACACTTAGAACCCAGATCCCTGTTTCTCAACAGTGTCCTTCAACAAGGGCCAGGGCTTCTTTATGAAATGCATGGCTGCAGGCCCAAGGCTAAAAAAAGGACAAGTGGAAACTGAAGTATCTTGTCCCAGAAAGCAAGGAAGTCATCAAGGAGTGAAGGGAGCATGTCAAAAAGGTACTGACCCTGCCTGAAAAAGTTCTCACTGACCAAATCTGGAACAACCTGAGCATCAAAGTATAATGTGTTTCTCGTTCCAACTATGATAAAACACTTTCACCAAAAGTAACGCAGGGGTTTATTTCGGCTTATAGTTCATCACTGAGGAAGTCAGGGCAGGAACTCAAGCAGGAACTTGAAGCAGAAACTATGGAGGAATGCTGCTTGCTAGCTCAGAGGTTCAAGTTTCTAGTTTTCTTATATAGCTCAGGACCATCTGACCAGGGTGTGGGGCTGCCCACAGTGGGCTGGGTCCTCCTCCATCAATTAACAATCAAGATGATCTCCCACAGACATGCCCACAGGACAATCTGATCTAAGCAACCCCTCACTTGAGACTCCTTTGTCAAGTTAACAGTTAACACTAACTAGGATAACGTGATACTGAAAGACCATATTCCACTGACTAAAATAAGAATACAGTCCAGAGTATAAATCTTTACAGTGCAAATAAAGAAAGGAAGGCTTTTTATAATGGATTTTCCACTTACTATAGGATAGGTACTGGGGTAGGAAACCATGCACACTACAATACAACATGAATGAATAAAAGGTTATGAAATACAGGCTACTTATTCTCCACATATTTTACCATGAAATGCTTAATAATCACAAAAAGAAAAACACTAGTTTTATAGAGAAAACTACCACCTTACCCAAGTGAGCAGAAATAGGACAAATAAACGTTTATCACCCACCCCTAACATGTTACTTTCCTTCTCCCTTCGTTCTACACCCCCACTCTCAATTCTTCCTCCCCTCCCTCAAATTCTCAGCCATCCTCCTGCCTCAGCCTTCAGACAGCTCAGATTATAGAAATAAGCTCAGCTCATGGCTCTTTGCTCTTAAAACTCTTCAAAGTCTTTTCTTTTTGCAGTCACAAGCTTTTAAACTCTGTGTATTATACATTCAATAAAATCCATGCATAAGGCACTCAGGAGGCAGAAGCCTCAGATCCTCACAGGAGGATCTCTGTGAGCTAAATGTCAGCCAGGGCTACATAGTGAGACCTATCTCAAAATCAAAACAAACCATCTGATGCATAGTCAAACCAATTCCACTCCTCTAAGAGCTCAGACATTCCAGTGTGAGGTAGTAACAGATCTGCTAGAGGTTGAGTTAATTAGCCTTAATCGGCTTAAGAACTCTCATCTGTAAATTGTGAACCCTCAAAGTTGGGAAGTGATAAGCCTGGAGAGTAGCTCTGCCACCTCTAATTTATCCAGAAGATGTAGGAACAAAAGGTGACCCTGGCTGTGGCTAAGCTCTCCTTATCACTGCAAGAATAAATTGTATTGTGTGAGAGGAACATTTCTAGTTATCATCTTTAAAATTAGATTAGAAAACATAAGTAAGCACAAATTTTAATGGGCAAGAAACCAATATGCTCTTTGAGATTATTTCCATATGATATTCTGAGAAACAATCCACCAAAAACCTCATCTTATGACTCTTATTTCTCAATCTTGATGAAGAGATGAGGCCTGCATTATACTGCAGCCCTCAATCCCAGCAATAACCTCAACTGGTCCAGGGGTAACAACATAACTCACCATACTTCTTCTAATGTAGCTGATGGCTTTCTTCATATCCATGCCTGACCAGTTGTTGAGCATATAGCAAATACAGGAGGCACAGTACACGAACCTCATGTCATTTTCACTGCCTTCAGGAACAGCACAAAAACTGAAAACAAGGACGTGAAGCTGCATTAAGATCCTTTAGCTCAAGCCAGGAACATATGCCATGTGTCTTGACTCACAGAAACTGCTGACTTTCCTCCCACCACACTCCACGGTATAAAATGACCCGAAATCACTTATCCTCATGAGCTGTCACTGCCCAGATACTACTATTCAGACTAAGAATTTACTCCCAGTAAGGGCAGCAGAAAAAGTAGCAAGTAAAACCTCACACATACTATTTGGTGGTAAGAAACTGCTAAACCCAAATTTTATTATGTGAAATTTCTCCTAATGTATATATAGATAACTACTAACTGATCTATTATATTGAGTTTCATTCCGTTTAGTTTTGAAGAGGCACTACTGTGTTCCTGTCCTCTTGATGGCAGTAATCCAGAACAGCAGATTCTCAAATGTCTGTTTATTATGTCTACAGTCATTTTTCCCTAGTCAAGAACAGCGTTCTGAAAACACTGACAAGGAAACAAGGACCACAGTGCACAGGGCAGGGACGGAACACAGCAGCAGACTGGTCCACAGAGTCCTTTGACTGGAGGTTATGGCTACCTACTTCATCACATTGACAACTTACAACTCCTGTGACCTAAACTCTTACATAAACCACCAAGCGTCGTGAGCATTAACTTCTGTATCATGTAAATGTGTCCCTCAATGAGCTGGAGAGCAAGCCACCTCACTTTGAACATAGTTTTTAATGTGCACTCCTTTCTTTCCCATCAGTACTTTCAAGGATACTCAAACTAAACAGCTTATTTCAAAATATTTGTTTCATCCAGAAGGCAAATTAAAAAGAAAAAGGAGTTCTACTAGAAAGTGAGCTTTATTTTTGTTCATATAAAACGAGGTACTTTTTTCATTAAGCACTTTTCCATTGTGTGAGTGGGGATCTAATCCAGGGCCTTCACACACTAATTATGCACTAACATGAGTTGTATTCCAGTCCTGGATGGTGCTATAAAGAGAATATGATCCTCTAAAGATCTACTATAGTGTTATATCCAGTATATATTCCAGTTCCAAATAGTTTTTATGTAAACATAAAATAATAACGGACAGCTCCTACCTCCCATCTTCAAGCTGAAGTGCTCTCAAGCCTGCTAAGCATGCTTCTTTATCTACTCGGCTTAAATCATCTCCAAGAATAATTAGACATGAAAGGCCAGTGTAGGTCATCGCTATGTGTCCACTGTCATAAGGATGAGCTGTTCCAGGGTTCTAAATTCAAAATTAATAGTATGTTAAATTAATTGAAATTTTAAATTTTATTTCATAAATGAGGTTTGACATGAGGTTTTAGTAAATGTTCCTTATACCAATTTGTATAGATATCTACCTGAGGAAAAAAAGCCTCAATTTTTACATGTCTCAATATGTCTTCTTACAAAGCTACATAATTTTCAAAATCTTATACTCCTCCAACTTTATGAAAATAGTTAAGACATTTGAATAAATCATATATTTGAAACTTTCTACTTAGTTCAAGCCTATATTTATAAAAAAATTATGTCTTATAAAGTTAAAAACTCATTCAATATTTAAAACCAAAAAATTTATAAAAAGAAGCAAAATTTGGGCTTGGAATATAGCTCAGGGGTAAAGTGCTTGCCTACGGTTTAAAGTTCCCAGAACTGTGAAAAAATGAAGTAAAAGCTATGGTATATGGTACAAATCTAAATTAAATACATTATTATTCACCACATAACCTTATCATTCTACTGTCATGAAGTTTAATCATTTCAACCTCTAATAAACATTAGTATTCAGAATATAAGAAGTAAATGTAAGGACTTCAACTGTATAAAAATAAGCAAGGTCACACAATCTCAGAAATAAACCACATTTAAGCTTCATATAAGGAATCTAGCCAATAAGGTTTGTGTATGTGTGTTAAAAAGGGTTAGCAACTTAACCCCACAATTTTCTTGCACAATGACCTGTGCTTCTTCATAGAGCAAATCTGCATGATATTCAATACCCTTGAAGCCTGAAGCCACCCACTGATCCACCCTGACATACAATTCTTTTATATGGTCTCACTAACACCAAACCAATTTTCATCTTAACACCTTTTAAGTCCCTCCTCAGAACTCAAGCCCTAATTTTCTTCACTATTCTATTTCACAGCTATAATGGCCTTCTTGGAATGCCCAAAGCAGGTCTCATTTTTCGGTATTTAAACCAAACACCTGCTATTTTAAAAGAGTGACAGGGAATCCGAATGTGAATTAAATGTGAACTGTGACCTTTAAGAGAGCATATAACGCCGGGCGGTGGTGGCGCACGCCTTTAATCCCAGCACTCGGGAGGCAGAGCCAGGCGGATCTCCGTGAGTTCGAGGCC